CGTCAATTTCTTCTTTAGTAGGTGAAGGTGGGATTGATTTCTTGAGACATTATAATAGAATTAGAAAGAAATAGTTTTTTGAGATAAAGACAAAATAAGGTAAATAAATTCTAGATATATTGTTAATCATATTTAATCATATAATAATAAATAGGTTTCAGATTTAGAGGTTGAATCTAAAGCTTATATATTCAAATTTATTTGATGATTCAAAAGAGCAATTAAAAGATAATCTGGTAGTACGATAGATTAGGCCTATATAAAATTTCTACTCCAGATAACCAACACATTTAACAAATTCTTAACCAGATAACAACTTAGTTAATTTAAATAACTAGTTAGCCCAGCTAATCTAGTTAAGATATAAAGAAATTTTATATTTCTTATTATTAATTCCAAAATCAAATAGTAATTCAAAGTTCTTAATTTAGATCTAATTATAAAGATCAGAACTGGCTAATATAATAGTATAATACAAATAAATCAGGTTATTTCATGTCTTAAAAATATTTAAATCAAATGTACCCAACTTTGGTTTAAATAGTATTATAAATTATATTTTAATTTGATAAACTGGTTTGTTTTATTTATTTTCTAAATTTTGATTTCTTATTTGAGTTAACTGGTTAACAAAGTTTCTATCTAAATAAAAATGCTTATACAGATTATTTGAGTAATTTTTATTTGCACCTAATCTCTAGATAGCATATTATTTTAAAACACACATGGGTGTTATTTTAAGTTAAATATACCATTTTTAAAAAAATTAAAATTTTAAAATAATGTCTATGTGCATTATTATGGTAGATATTTTGTATCTATATTATTATAATCTTAGATATAAAATACTTATTTTAAAATCTATACTATGCTAATCTGTTATTTCAGATTAATATAATATAATTTGTAAAGAAAATTACAATAGTACTAATAAATAATAACTTATTAATAAATATCAGAAAAAACATAAAATAGCAATAAATATTTAAATTGTCTAAAAATTATTTAATTTTATAAATAATTAGATCTTGCTAACTTTGACAATTTCTATCTAGTATTGTATAATATTTTTTAGAATACTAATAAATTATACAGTACTTATGCGATTACTATTATATTATCAAAGTCTTATTTAGTTCAAATATATTTACTTGTACTTTAAAAGGTTTTGGACTGGCAATAATTTAATTATTTTGTGTTTGGTAAGAATTTTTAAATCAACTATAATTTTATCACACTTCTAAATAGCAGCTTTTGTGTCTTCTTCATTTTTCAAGACAATTGCAACAAATTTAACAGTTTGGCACACAAAAGTGTCAAGCTTGTTAAATATATAGATATTTTTTCTTAATACTGATTAATCTGTAATATTTAAGTATTGTTAAAAAATCTGTTGCCAGACTTTATCACTAATAAATATGGTTATTTTATTATTCAAAGGTTCATCTACCTTAAAAATTAATCAATAATTATTATACTATTATTTAAAACCAGAAACCTTTTCAAAACTTCTAAATTAAAATATTTAAACTTCAACTATTACTGGTTAAAAAATTAAATTTACTAAATAATATCTTGTTATATATAGTATAAATAATAACTTAAAATCAATAACAAATTCATACAACTCTTCCTGACAATCCCTTGCACCAACTTTTCCAGAAAGCCTGACCTATAAAAACTATACAGTTACTATATTTAAACACTACAAAACTTTACTAGTAGCAGCTAGGATTAGTGGCTATTTACTACATGTTGGTGTAACTGAAATAGAGTTCAAAAAAGTCTCCCTTGTAAGCAAAGTTCTCTGGCAGAAAACTCTGGTGCTACCAAGCAAAGAAGTAGCAAACAAGCTCTAGAGCTTTGTTAAGTACTATAGAAGCCTTGGCAGAAGTAGCCATTTAGTTAAATATATTATTCTGTATAGCATTACTCTTATCATTTTCTTCAAGTTAGCTGCCTCTTATCCTCTTTTCTATCTCAAGGTTTTTCGAACAAAAAGTGGGCAATTTGGTTTGCCCTTTACATGTGATTAACAGTGTTTACACAAACCAAATCGTAAACTGGGAGTTATGTATTTTTCTCTACACGTGTTCAGAATAAACAATATGAATACCAATTACATATAGTATATTAGTTTTGGATAACATAGGAATTTCGATACTAATTACTAAAAAAACTCTTTCCCATAAATCCCTAGTACAGAAATTCTTAAAATTTCTAAAATACAAAAATGCAATTTACATTTAATTTTATTAAGTAACCATACTATTTAGCTC